AATGAATTTGATTTGGAATTATTTTCTGTGTGAATTTTATTTGCGCAAATTTAATTAAAGTGATCTTCTTACCTACAAGTCCGCCTGCAACGAATAAAACAATAACGGACTCGGGCAAGATAAAGGAAAACGCTTTGTATAACGTCAAGGCAATGATGGCAGCTGGGAATGGTGGAAACACTAATCTTCTCGTATCAAACGGTACCTGAAACCAGAACAAAATGTATTTATTATGAAAAAAAGATCGCGCAGTATCAGTTTTTTGTAATAAAAAAATCAAACGCTTACCTTGTGATGCAGTCCGTGTATTGCAAAGTGCAAATAAATCATCAATTTCGAGTACCCTGAAGGTTCCATATGGAATACCCATCTGTGTAAAGAGTATTCCATCAGACTCCATGCGATTATTCCTAAACCTACATATAAAATGATTCCTGCTCGGTTTGTATCTGAAAATGCAGTCATGCTATATACAGGGCGGCCCAACAACATACCCAGTGGAAAAGGCGTTTTTACTGACCTTTGGTCGTTTCAACGTACTGTTGGGCACCGATTTGTATTAAAAACATTATAATGGGAATCCAAATCACAGGCACAACGTACCACGGTGTAATACTTAGATTTTCCAAAATCGGGTTCCCAAATAAGCGCAAATTGCGATCTACCGGAGAAATCACCCATTCTTTGTATTGGGTGCCTAAACTGCCCACTTGAGCCAGCATTGGTTTGTCCCAGTCTACTAATTTCTAAAAAATAAACGAAAATAAATAATCTATTAGCTGTATTAAGAATATTTATAAATTATTGCAACGCATTTGAAAAAATTACTCCAATCTTAACTGATTATGAAGTGATGCAAAATGACGCACCTTTAAGGTTCGAGCCGAATTTTTGGGAAATGAGTGTGCAAAAAGTGCCACAAAAATCAAAAAAGCTTCCGCGTATGTAAGTATTAGTCATCCAGGTAATAAGCCTTATTAAGCGCAAATTTATTTTGCAGTTAGTGATTTTTTCAAACCGACTTTTGTAACTGCAAACTGTTTAATATTCAATATTTTCAATTAACTTAAACGCCTCATTTACCCAAAAGCCCATCAGGCACTTGCTTTGAGCCGACCTGATTCTTATCGAAGTGGATACTTGATAAGAATCAAACATGTCATCAATCAATACTCATTAATATATGTTATAGCGGCAAAAACAACTTTTATTCGTAAACATTTATTTTGCACATAAAACACGCCGTTTTGCTCATTATGGCTTAAAGGTAGCCGAGAATCTGATCATTTGCGTTACACCAAAACATTTTTAAATGCGTGGCGCAAATAGTCGTTTCAGATTTTCGGGCCTTGTACATGTGACCTACTGACCAATAGCAGAGCGCGGCAAACGCGTTTCCGCGGAAACGCGTATGTAAACGCCAGCAGATTGTGGATATACATAGTTGATTTGCGCCATCGATTAAGATTGAAAGAGCGAAACTAGAACTTTAATGAGGCTGAGTGGGATGTTTTCAAAAAAATGTTGGATATTTTGCCTCAACAATTTTTTCCGCTTTAAAAACGCTTCTATTTTTGGAAATTTCACTTACTTCAAAATCTTCCCCGTCGCCGTTGGCTTGTTTTCTTTTTCCATCTTTTTTGTATTCCTTAAATAAGTAAAAAGCCGCTCTGGAATGTTGGCTGTCTTGCATTCGTTTGCTGATATCTTTCCCTTTATACGGCGCTAAATAATTCAATCCTCCGGGATGGTTTTGCAGAAACTGTTGCAGGTCGTACTTATCACTCTCGTACAACACGCCGAAACTTTCTTGATCATTTTGCATTTTTCTGCAACAATAATATCGATTATTTCTGGGCAATTACATAGTTGGTTAAAAATCCAGTATATTTCATAGTCATGCCAGTCAATGCCAGTTCTAAATATCCAATTTCTGTGATCAAAGCTGGCGATAATCAGCGCAATGTGTTGATAACTCCCATTAGACTAATAATATATAATACATCACTATTCCCGGAAATGTCCGGAACATGAAATCATAATTGCAGCACTTAAATCATACTGGAGCAAACATGTTTTTCGTGTTTCATGCGACAATTTGCAAAAAACTTTTGCGTTTTTTACTAGGAAACGCCAAAACCACCACCAAAAAGCACTAAATTGTTAGAAAAATTTGAAAAAAGTAAAGGAAAATAGACATTTAGAATCTTTCTTGAGACATTTTGCGTTATTTCCTACCTTATAAACGACCCCAAACTGAAAGGCACTAGCTTCAATCGCACTTAACTCACTAATTTCGGTTAATAGATTGTTTGTTATTTATTTATTAAACAAAAGTGACTTTCTACACGAACACGGTCTGGACAGCTATTTAATCAGTTTCTTCGAGAGCATGAAGTATAAGTACGCAGAAATCTATCATGGACAAAAATACAAGTGCCTATAAGTTTTAATCTTATCTATTTCAGTTTTGGCTCCGTTTATGAAGTCATTTCATACAGGGCGTCAAGTCATTAAAAATATTAATGTTTTGTTAAGCCCTAAAAGCCGACAGAAAACGCCCCAGTCTGACGCAAAACCTTCTAAACAGTAGGAATTTCCTGAAACAAATAATCCTTATCTCAATAGGGACAACAACAAAAAGAATACATTTGAACTATGATTAGGAGAAATTGAGGCAAATTCAAAGTCGTGCATGTTCTCAACTCAACTGCTCAAAAGAACTTGAAAACACTGCAATGGTGAATTATTAAGGGAATCGTTCGAACAGTTTTGTTTAAACTAGCCCGGAAAGCTTTATCTATTGCGCAAGGAAAATTAATTCTTCAGAAAATGAACGAAAAATATTAAAAATAATTCAGGTCATAAATCGATAGTACATCAACATACGCTTTGTTATCAGCGATTATGGAACAGTGGACTGATCGATTGCAAAGGTTTAAGAGATTCGAATAGAAAACCTTAATTAATATTGGATTATCAATAGAATTTCCCTAAAAAAAACCGCTATTTAATTAAATAAAATTATAATTAAATCCAATTTAAAAATATCAAGTGACTGAATTAACGGCTAGCTAATGGAAATGAAGAGTTTTTAACGAATGCCGCTCGAAACTGGTGAGTTTTTCGACTTAAGCTCGAAAAACTCCTCAGATTCTGACAGTAGTCGCAAAAATAGCTAAATATTGAAAAAATAATCTTCAAATAATACTGAAATGTACTTTTAGGAATTTTTCAAATTTCAGCACTTTAAACTGAAACTTTTAGCTTGCCTTTTTCAAATCAAATATTTTTTCCCAAGTTTTTGGTAGTTCCAACTCCATTTTTCCCATACTATTCGGTAGCAAAACATAAATAAATTAACAAAATATATACGCACATAACTTTTAGAAATGAATGTCTAAAATATAAAAAAAATAGTTTTACCTTCAATCTCATTAAACTTCGCAAAATATCACTGCCATAAGAAAGAATCCTCATGCATTTTTACCAATCAGAGGACCATTTTCCCGAAAAAACTTCTGAACTCCTGGCATCAATCTTGGAACATTTGGTAGCTGTTTCGCGCCAATATCGACCATAAACTGTTCGCTTTTCCGAATCAATGGATTGTGAATGCTTCCTGAAATGAAAATTGATCGGAACTCTCATTACTGTTCACTTGCTCTACATTGTTTTTTGTTATATTGCGTGCAAGCTGGTGATAAAATTTCGAATGTGTTTTTCTCTGGGGAGTAATTTTCACGCTAGAAATACCATGTTTCTCAAATTGGTTGGAACGAGATTGAGTAAAATAATAAATAAAATAAAATTTTATTTCAGATTTCCTCTAATTTAAAAAGAATCTCAAATTTTTTCAGATTCAAAATATTTCGGATGAATCTTTCATACATTTTTTATTACTCGAGTTGTTGAGTAATTCTTCCTAACGTGTAAAATGTTTAGGTATTTTTAAGCAGAGTGTAAGGTATAAAAAAACTAAATTACATTTTATTAAAATTCAAAATTTATATTCGGGAAATAAAAAATGGCGCTAAATCTCAGCTCAATGCAGCCAAACTTCCCACTTTCATTTTTAGTCAATCACAGATCACAGAGCAATAACCTCTGTGATCTGTGTAGTCAATCCATCAATGTCAAACATCATCTATGGCCAAACATAACCCAACTTTATGGCCGATATTTGATTATTTTAACGTGCTTTTAACGAGTTCAACAGCTGTAACCAGAGCCCAACGTTCTTTCAATTAAAAAAGCACAAAAATGTCAGTGTCCCAGGTAGGAATGTATTCAATTTTCCATAAAGGTCATTTGTTTTGTGCACCCCATTAGAGTTCCTGCAGTTTCACACTCGTATCACACTCTTGTGTTTTAGATAGCTGATTTTTCCCATGGAACGTCCAAAACCTTTGTGTTTCAAAACGAGGGGCACACTTTGGGCAACGCATTGAAGGGAATTATTTCCAGCTAGTAAGTATCACCCTGCCTGTGTTTATTTCAGTTTTTTCAATTTTTACTGTTGTATTTTTTAGTCCTAATGTGCAATTCTGCGGCTACACAGTGCCTCATCCTGCGGAGAATCAAATGCACCTTCGCATTCAAATGTTCAAAGGCCAGGCAATCGATGCCTTGAAAAAGGGGCTGGCGGATTTGATTCAAGTTTGCGATATCACGCTGGACAAGTTTGATGAGGCAGTGGTTAGCTTTAACACCGCAGATAAATAACATGTGTAGTTTTCATAGGTAGAATATTTAATAATTGAATAAAAGGGGATGCTTACAGTCTGGTCTGAGGCATGGCGGATTTACTCGGAGTAAGTGATTCACAAGTGCAACAGAATGTGATTAAATAGATTTAATTTTGTACAGTTTCGGTCTAGTTTAGGTGGTCCATGTTCATATTTTGAATAAAATGATCGTTGTGTAATAAAATAATCAGAATCTCTGCATTAATCCTTGTCCAAAATCCACATTTTTATTGGTTTTTGCTTAAAAGCCAGATTTATTGACTAGAACTTATGTCTAAATGCACTTTTCTGTCAAGAAAGGGCCGACCTCTTGAGCACAGAAGTTAACAGCGAAAGAATACCACTAAACTTGAAAATTTACGTCTGCGATACATGCAAGAAATTCGACTTAACACACATAAAGTTCGCCCTTATTGATACAAAAGTTCACTTATTTATCACCAAAGAATGGGTTATTTTGATGCGTTTTTAATGATAAAATGACATTTTGCTCCAAACAAGGAATGCGATTTAAACCTCGGAAAGCGGCTGTAAAAACGAGTTCCTCAAATACTTAAAAAACATTAAGTTTCAACAGCAGTGAAATTAAATTGAAATTGAAATTTGCGATTTTTATTTGGTTTTAACGGTCAAATGCATCATGTAAACCGGAAACTCTGGGGGCAACAGTTAAATTTCGTGCCGTTTCCATTTTCTTCAAGCAGCCAATCACGAGCTCGATCTAGCCGCGCATTCATTGGCCCGCCTAGACGTTTCCTCCTCGCTTGATTTGTGAATTCTGTCAGTTTGTGTTTGATTTCCGGCTTAAGCTGCTTGCTGCACTCTGTTAGCCGCCGTTTCATCGATTTTCTCCATTTCGTAAGTATATCTTATTGAATATTAACATTTAATGAAATAAACTGATGCCAAATTAATACATTTCGTCAAATACGTTGGATTTATTGAACGATTTTCGGTGTTTCGACTGCGAAATGATCGAATCCGTTTGGCTAAACGGGTAAAATGGCTGCTTTATATGTATTTTAGCGTAGCCAAACGACTATCGGCAGTTTCAGGCTTTGGCCCAATCGATTTTCTGCACAGCACGGCTGTAATTTATTTCAACATTTCGGAATATAGTGAAAAAAATGCTGCATTTTTTCCAACTGTAACCGTTTTTTTGGCGCCAATTTTTACATAGTTTCAAAGCGGCTTGATATGCCCTGTTTATCTGCATTAATCCTTTGTGTATTGATTTGTTCTTTGTGCATCGTCACTATGAATTCTTCGACCTATTTCCTGCTGAAACAAATCCGTTTTTGACCTCAGCAATTGCAGCAAAACGTTTTATGAAGTGAGCAAAGCTTTATTCCTCATGTAAAATTGCAAAAGTCCACAAAGAAACGAAGCAATTTTCGGTTATAAAAAACCGTTATAAAACTATGGTTGTTTTTTTTACAGTTAGAATATTGTGATAAACTTTTCTGCATAAAACGCCTTTAATTTGAGTGTATTTCAGACCTCTTGTTATAGAATATAGAAACATTTTTTTTAATAAAGGAAACGGAAGCCTCATTTTATATCCAACATTTATTTGTAATAAAAACTACAATTTTCTGGAGCAATTGCTATAATTTCCGCGCAAAACTGCCATAAACACATATCAAATTTGATTTGGAATTGAAACACAGTCAGGAAAGTATATACAAGAAACACATATGTAATGTACATTCAAATTTTTTCCAGGATTTCGTCAATTTGTTGAAAAAAAACCCAAGCATCATGTCCGATGAAGAAGTTCAAACCAAAGCTCCAGCCAAGAGAGGCCGCAAGCCAGCAGCAGCTAAGAAGGTATTATTTTAAACTCGAACTAACCCAAACTTCGAAGTCTTTAATGCAATGAAGGGCAAACGCGATTTTCATTGATTGATCTTCAAGTTCTGCGGCTAGCAAAACGTTGGCAATTTAAAAAAACTGGCCCTTGTTTTTAAAACAGAAGACAGGAGAAAATTTCCGAGGTTTCATTGACATCCTCAGGGCCACGCCGTTGAAAACGTTGATAAAAAAATTTGAGTCAGTTTATCATTAACATCATGAAGTGCTCTTAATTATTAACTCTTACGTTCGCTAGGAGGTTGTAAAGAATGGAGATGGAGATGCGCCTCCGCCAACCAAGCGAGGACGAGGAAGGCCAAAGGGGGCCGGTGTGAAGAAAGCCGAAGCCAAATCCAACGGTAGTAAGTTGAATTATATTTTAACAACGTAGATTATGATTTTCCGTTTGTTGACCCGAAATAGTCAATTAAATAATAATTTTTTTTATCAGCTAAGGCAGCGCCAGCAAAGAGCCGCCGAGGCAGATCGAAAAAGGAGGAGAAGAAGGAAGAAAGTTCCGCTGAAGAAGAGGAGAAGTCCAGTGCCAACGAGGAAGAGGAGGATGATGATTAAAAATCATCATTGTTTCTAATTATGTGGAACGTTTACTAAAGACTGCAAACTAATAACGATTAGTCTAATCTAAAATAATTCCGTTTTGTTTTATCCAGTTTACCAACCCCAGAAAGGTTTTTTTTTTCGATTTCTGTTCTTTGGTATCAGGGTACATTTTCAGTGTCATCCCAGTGCTTTGAAGATATTTCATAGTGTTAGATAATATAGGTTTTAAAGAAGCTGTTCTTTGGATGTATCCTGATTTTTTGTATATATTTTAGCGGGTGTAATAAATGCATTGGAGTTTTTAAATGATTTGCTTTACTACTCCTTTTAATTCATTATTATTATTTCTAGTTCCACTCATCCTAGAAGAATAGAGGTCAGTTTTCCCTGCGCAACATTTATTGATCGCCCTCACCTCTCGTGAGCGTTGTGGAAATTCAGCACGGTTTTAAGCAAAATAACCTGTGAAACAATGCAGATTAAACTGAAAAAGAGCCTTATTGAAAGGTGAACATGCCTCATCGGGCACAACAGTACAAACCATGGGAATATTTAAAAACGCCAGTTTTGATGAACATCGTCGTTGGTCCTACACAGTGCCTGTTGTGTGTTATGTGATACTTATAGTGATGATTTTGGTTCTAAAGCTGCCCCTAAAGCCCAGCCTCAAGCCCCATATCGAATCGATAGATTTGTTTGCAATCCGATTGAAAAACAGCAATTTCAATTCGGATCAGGCTGCTAGTAGAAGTGATGGGGACTGGCAGAAGGAGTATTTTGTCAACGATAAAAACGGCCGATTTACCAACATTCAGATTTTATCGGAGGTGTTTGCTCTGTAAGAGGATTTTGGAATTTTGTTCTGGACGATTCAACTAATTTTCATACTTCCAGAGCAGACACTAACAGAGACCAAAGGTTGGATGTTAGGGAATTGTCGGCATGGATCAGGAAAAAAATCTTCCAGCACGTCACAGAGGCGGTTGGAAACAATCAGGCCCTTTTTAATCAAATTGATATAAACCCCCAGGATGGTGTGATCTCTTGGGCGGAATACCATAAATATTTCATGATACATCGCGGATTTTCAGCCGCCTTTGCCGATAATCATGATGAAAAGCGACATAGAGGTGTGCCAAGACGAATCAAGGGTGAGCGATTGGATCGTACTGTTGGACACTGTTTGAAGACGATTTTTTCAGAAAGCATCAAAAAAGATCAAGCTGCATGGAGCCAACTAGCAAAACTTGAACCATTCTCCATGAATGCCGATGAGTTCTTGGCTTTTACCCATCCAGAATCCAGTGTAGCCCACCATTTGGAGCTGGTAGAGGAAATGTATGAGAAGTTTGATAAGGACGGCGACGAACTCCTAACGGAGGATGAATTTTCAATTTTCCACCCTGAAGGTATTTGGCAATAGAGTCTCTTAAATAAGACAGCTTATTCTGGTCTGCTTCCACAGGAAACGATGATGAATCATTGGCTATAAGACAAGATGAGGAGTCGCGTCGCAAAACATTCCGCACTTTAATAGACCGAAATCAGGATGGAAAGGCGAACCGTCAGGAATTGCTGCACTATGTGGCTCCTGAAAGTCCTCGACATGCAGATCAGGAGGCTGAGGCTCTGCTTGGTTTAGCGGACGTTGATCACGACAACCGATTGTCTTTGGACGAAGTCCTCAATCATCCGAATCTGTTCCTCAAGTCCAAAATGATCGATGCTGCCCGTGGTTTTCACGATGAGTTTTAAATGTTTATTCTATTTTAATGAAATACCTGTAAGATTTTCTCGCACGGACAAAATTTCCTCACGTCTTCTGTAACAGGTTGATGAAAAAATGCGCTTATTTCACACTAAGGAACGAAGTTTTTATCAAAAGGTAATCAAGTAGTAATCGTTGGAAAGTT